AGATGCAACGTCCAGAGAGTGGCAGCCAAGCGAATGTTCACAGGGACGCAACCAGAGGCGGGCATTTCGCCCTTTTAGATGCTCTTCATTCGCTCCCCCCACGGCTCAGTGCACCCCTTTCCTTTCACCTGGGGACATCCCCACCGACTGTTCCTTCCCCCTCTGCCTCCTCTCAAAGCTGGGCAGGTGTGTTGCTTTCCTCTCATTCATTTTCTTTCTAACCTCCACCCCCCAAAAAAAGCCTCACACCAGAATGTGAGTGATAAGGCTGGGGGGCGGGGGGGCTTAGCAGGAGGGGCATACAGGTCCAGAAACCCTCCACGCATGCACTTTGGAAGGAGGCCGGCGACGGTGGGCTGGCTTAGGGTGGCCTGAGACGGAGGCGAGGAAGGGCCCCATCCAACCTAATTGGAGAACCCGCCAGTGAGGTGATCCTGCCCCTTTTGACCCTGAAAACATTGCATTTATTTCCCTGGGGAGGGTAACTCCAGGTTGCTTAAAGGGGTTAAAAGGCATTTGAAGCATTGGATTTAAATACTGTAGGTGGCTTCAAACTCTGTAGATTCACATCAAGAGTGTCTGGTTATTCCTAAACAGGGACGAGAGCAGGAGACCGCCTCTCCAAAGACCCGCTTGAGGTCTGTGATCCCAGAAGATCTGGACTCCATTCATTCAGAACCTTTTTCTCCATGGGCATTGATAGCAGCTGGTCTAGACATGTTAAACATGAGCGAGCATATAAATCATAGCTTCCTGAGTTTCCTTCCGAAGTAGCCGGGGCCCCTCCACTTTCATACGAAACGGCAGCTGAAATTGTTCACATCTGCCCAATATTTCCCAGATCGCTCTGGATTCAGTTCGAGGGCAGGGGCGGGGGGGGGGGGGTTGCTGTTTTTTGTTGCACTTCTTTATGTGTATGAGTGAGTGGTGTGAAAAGCTGTCTCTTTGCTTTGAGTTCTCCTCTGTGCCTTAGAACTGCCTCTGCAACTCCAACCCTTCAAATCCTAGACATTAGGAAGCAGGGGTTTCTTTACGGCAGGCAGAATAAACCAGGCAGCTGCGTGTACTGCAGACATTTGAAAATGTTGGAATCAAAATGGGCCGCATGTTGTTTGCAAAGCTGTTGACGGTGCTGAGTGCCAGCCGAAGCCTCCAGAAGCAGGAGAGGCTTTGCCACTTCAAACTGGGCTCTTTCCCCCCCCTTTTCTTTGAGAGCCTAGATGATTGGGGAGGGGCCGCAGAAGCCTATCTGGGTATGCCAGAGGATGGAGAAAAGGGGGGGAGGGTGTCGGCTGCCTTGGTCTTTTTGGAAACAAAGTAGCAGAGCTTTGCTCTTCCCATTTTTGCAAAGGCCACTTTGTTACCCTTCTGTTTCCTCTTTCCCTGCATCTTGTTTCCAACCTTGTGGTTACAATGAAACCCCTTTCCTCAGCAGGATCGCATCTCTCTCCATCGGCCTTGTGGATCCATGAATGAAAAGCCAGAACCCAGGAGGTAGATGGAGCAGGGCAGGTGGCTCGGCCGTCATCTCCCTCTGCGACTCTTCCGGGTCGTTCAGGAAATGAAAGCGAGCACATGCTAGACGGGCTTCAAAACGGGCCGAGCCAGCTCAGCTCTTGCTGGTGACCAGCTGCGTGGAGGGGGCCCTGCAAGTCGGAAGGGGCTGGCCCCTGCTTGAGTGCCCTCCGCCCTGGGAGGGCCTGGCAGTCTTCCCTTTCCTGGCCGGTGGCTCTGGGAGGCAACATTCCTTTGGAGGGCGGCAAGCCGTCCACGGCCCTTGTGCCGAGGCCTCAATCCGGCTTGCCTTCTGCTAGAAAGTGAGATGTGAGAAGCACCTCGCTTGGCACTAAGAGAACACCTTATTTTTTTCCCCCCCAAAATGCTCATGTTTCTCATTCCACATCCTACTTCCTGGTTGCTGCAGAAATTATGAAGAGAAATTGTAGGACATCTTCACCCGCACCGTTTCCTAATCCCTCTTTTGCTCCTTGTCCTCTCCCTCGCTTGCTTTTTCCTGCCCTGTACAGTTGAGAGGAAGGATGGTTGAGATGCGCAGATGCAGCTCAATATGCTGTCAAACAGCCTGCAAATGGCCGGCTTTCGAATGGCTTTCGAAACCAGCGTTTCACCAATGTGTGTGTTCTCTTTCCAGGCCCGGTTTCTCCCACAAGCCGTGGGGTCCTCGTTCTCTACCCAAAGACCAAAGGGCAGGTGGAGCCTCAATCAGGCTGCTAAACAATCACAAACAAATGCTAGCTCTTACCCAAAGACCAAAGGGCAGGTGGAGCCTCTATCAGGCTGCTAAACAACCACAGCATGCCAATAAAGGTTTCTGTACTGTACTGTACTGCTAAACAACCACAAACAAATGCTAGCTTTTGGCTGAAGGACGGCCTGGATGAGCCAAAAGCGTGTGTGTGTGTGTGTGTGTTTCAGTTTCAGTGGCTTAACAGAGGTTAAAGGTTTCTGTACTGTACTGTACTGCTAAACAACCACAAACAAATGCTAGCTTTTGGCTGAAGGACGGCCTGGATGAGCCAAAAGCTGGCGTGTGTGTGTGTGTTTGTGTTTCAGTGGCTTAATAGAGGATCCACCTACTCCTTGCATCCACACCTTTTAATGGGTGTTTTGCTTCTGCTCTTTTGCAGCTCATTGGCCTTGTGATCTTCTGCGTCGGCATTTACGCTGAAGTGGAAAGACAGAAGCACCGGACCTTGGAGGGGCTGTTCCTTGCTCCAGCCGTGATTCTCCTCCTCCTGGGCTTAACCATGTTTGCTGTTTCCTTTATCGGGATGGTGGGCTCCCTCCGAGACAACCGGAACATGCTCAGAACCGTAAGTTCTGCCATCTGCACCCAGGCTTCACCTGTTCCTTCTTGGCACAACTTGGACCAGCTCTGCAAGGTCACTGTATGTTGGTTCTAAGGTGTCTTGTTTCCTGTCGCGCCCCTCTTCAGAAGAGGCTTGGGAGTGGGGGTTTTAAGGGACTGAGGATGGCTTTGTGTCCTCTTTCCTCTGGTCTCCTCTCTCCGGAAAGCCCTAGAAAGGAAGTGACTAGGCAACCCTGTTTCGCTTTGCAGAATAGTAACGGTGTGGACCAAGAGGCCACCTCACCCTGGCAAGCGTGTGCTGAGCTCACCGTGGATCTGGATTTTCCGGACCAGCCGGGGCTGAGTCTGTTACAGAGAGCAGCTCCCTTGACGGAAGAGCCTCCTCTCCTTGAAAGGAGATGGTAGCTTAGGAGTCAAAGGGTTGACCGTATGGCTATGTCTTGGGTTGGGCACTCAAATCCTTTCCAGGGTTTTCTACCCTAAGATGGAGCAACCCTAACCTTTGCCTGCCCTGAGAAGGGGCCGCAGCTTTCTGCAGTGCAGACCTGGCGTTGCCTGAGTGCAGAAGTGGATGGTTGCCACCCTTCAGACAGAAGGTCTTCTGGAGTGATTTACATCGTTGAGAAGGTGGCCTGGGGGCAGATTTCCATGGAGTGGTTCCCCTCATGGTGAGGGGAGGCCGTTCCTATGCAGGCCTTCCCACACGCAGTGTGTAAATGAGACACATATCAAAGCACCTGTGCCACTTGTGGCCATGCCTTTGCTGGAAAGGTGAGATCAAGACCTAAACCGTGGGGGAACGTGGGAGCTGACCATGTTTGGCAATGTTCTCCAGGCGCTGGAGAAGTGGGTGAATTTGTCCAGGGGTGGAGGTGCGGTTGCTTCAGGGCGTGGCTGATCTCTGCCCTCCAAATGTGATTGTCCTCTTCCCTTTCCCCACTGAGGTTTTGCTTGTAGATTCAGGGCCTGTCCAGAAGGCAACCCAACCTTCTGAAAAAGGAGGAGATTTTTAACAGAGTGTTAGCTGCTTAGAGGGAAAGTGAACCAACTTCCACCACAACCTTGGCAATACAATAGTCTTCTCCTTGTTTTATCATCTGATGGCTGTTGCACCCAGCCATAAATGGTTCCCCGCCTGTCTGGAGCAGAACGGTTAATCTGCTCTATAGGGTTAGGGAGATGCTATGGAGTGCCTAGTGATTTCGGGTCATTTGTCAGACCATTAACCTACTCCACTCATCATCAGGATCTTTGAGTCTTTCTCTTGTAATGGATTCTTCCTTCCCTTCCCAATGACCTCTTTTGTGTTACGGTCTTGTCGTTACTCTTCGCAGAGTGGTAGGAGCCTAGCCAAATGTAAGGAATCAAAATAAGGAGTTCACATTTTTTTTATTTGGAAATTCTGCTTCGTTTCAGGTTGATAGCTGCTCCCTTGCAAATATCGGAGCAGAGCAGATGGGCTGTCTTGTTAGTTTTATGTGGTAGAGCGTGGAGCAGGTCAAAGTTGTGATCAAACCCAGCCAGAAACTAAGACAAATTGGCCAATTAGAATTCCTACCTGTCATGAAGAACAGGGGTTGTTAAAAAAAGAAAGAAAGAAAAGGCAGAGGGTGCGAAATCACCAAACTTCCTCTCCTCTGGGGATTAAGGCTGCTGGTAATTTCAAGGTGTCTAAGTTCACACCCCCCAGTAAATTCATTCTCAAGAGGTGGTTGAGTCATTTGTTAGCTCCGGAAGTGGGCAGGTTGATCTGACCTGAATGACAGCAACAAAAGGCTGTTTTGAAGCTGTTTTGACTTCAGGGTCTTAAGGTCCTGATTGCTGGGGCTCAGGAAAACCACGTTGCTTCAGTAAGGCTGCTGATTGTCTGGCAGGATCGGGTGGCAATTTTGGTGGTAGTGACACCTGCGGCTGTGTGTGTCTGACGACAACAATGGCTCTCCTGAACAGGATTCTTTAGCCTTTCTTTATCTGTGTCCCTTCCCTCCTGGGATGACAGAGCAAGGACTTGTGCAGAGATACAGCAGGGCCACTTGCAAGGGACTGGCACAAGAGAAACCCAAGCCATGTCTGTCCTGTGAAAAGCAGCCCGGAGAGGTTGCACATTTGAGGGCAGGGGGTGGTGGGGTGGCCTTTTAGCCTAATTTTCCATCCCAGATCCCTGCTTGCCTGTATCTAGGAATTCACACTAGGGAAGCTGTTAGCGTGGCAGAGCATTTTAAGCATAGGAAGAAGGGGCGAGCAGCCCCTCCACTGGCTAGCACTCTTCCCGGGGTGGCCTCCCAAATGGCTTTGCTGTTCCAAGAGCCACTCCGAAAGGTGGTTCAGTGACCATCATGCAGAACAGACTCCTTTCAAGTGAACACATGAGTAGGAATGTCAGGGTGGTCTTCATATTGCCTTCAGTGATGGTCTTGGCCATCATCCTGGGCTCAGCAAGAGAAAAGCTAAAGCAAGGGGAAAGCAGCAGAACGGAGCCCAGCAAAACCAGGGGCCCTCCGCCACTGAAGGCGGCTTCCTTCTCTTGCACCCTGCTGGTTTGTCCATGCACACCACCCATGAGCAGCTCTCCAGGACAAGCTGTACCTGACAGACAAAACGAGCATCACCATTTTGGCTTGAATACAAGAAGGGGAAATTGTTGAGCAGCTGCAGCATCTCCTGTGATCACCTGCTGGGCAAGTGTCAGAGAAAAAAAATGCTCTCGGGTAATGTCAGGCTTCTGCAAACTGTATTTGTTGGATAAAAGTTGTTTGTGGACAGGCAGCGAATCTCATTTTCTGTTGAAAACCCCAAAGGCAAAGGGGGTGACCCCTATTCGAGTGTTTCAAGCTCACAGAGGCCCTGATCTTGGGAGTCGGTGCATCCTTTTCCTTCTGGAAGGGAATGCTCTTGATTGAGTGTCTCTACTCCTTTATTCCCCAGTCGTATGCAGCCCTGTTTGCTCACTTTTCCCCTGATCTTTGCCAGGTCCTTGCAACATGGTGGTCCCAGAAGGCAGCACCATTTAGACCTCTCTGGCCAAGAAGACACGTTCCTTCTCCCCCCCCCTCCCCCAATCTAACCCATACAAATCTGAAGATTTCACAACTGGCACTTTTTCCCCTGATCTTTGCCAGGTCCTTGCAATGTGGTGGTCCCAGAAGGCAGCACTGTTTAGACCTCTCTGGCCAAGAAGACGCGTTCCTTCTCCCCCCCCCTCCCCCAATCTAACCCATACAAATCTGAAGATTTCACAACTGGCACTTCTCTGGAACTGGGAGGAATCAAATAACTTGTGTGTCTGTTTGTTTATAGACCAGAAATAAGTCCATTTCTCATCTGCTGTTTCTGAGAACTAAGTCTGAGTTACTTTTGGATGACCCCTGGTCACCTTACTTGAATGGGGCCTGGATAATTTTGTGCTGGTTCAATGTTTTGTCTTTCTTTAACAGGCTATAGATCAGTTGCATGTCATCATGTTTTAGGAGAGGTAGCCATGTTAGTCTGTGTGATCATATCAGGCAAAATCCAAAGAAACAACCAAATAAAACAAAAGGGCAAGAACATGGGGGAAAACCAAAAACGTACACCCCTCCTCTCTCTTCTCTCTCACCCTCTCATCTTTGTTTAGGCTTGGTGTCTGTTTTCTGTCTCCTGTGGAATTTTTACAACAGAGCCCGAGAACAACAGGAGCCATCAATGACTGCATGTAAATGTTCCATATACCCAAGAGCCAATCAGTATTTAGTATGAAAGTGATATTTCACTCCACATTTCATTCTCTTTCCATACATCTGAGGAAGTGGATGTGTCCATGAAAGCTCACATGACAATAGAATAATTAGTCTTTAAGGGGCCACATGGTTCTGTCTTTGTCTTGCTTTGTTTCTTTGGATTTTGCTTGATTTCACATGTGGATGAGCTGAGAGCATCCAAGGAGCCAAGGAGAAGCTTATGACTTCCTCCTCCTGCTGTTCTTTTTCTCCCCTCCTCCTCCATTTTGAAACTGTTTGGCTACATCGTGAGAGAGGAGAGATTCTCTCTCTCTCAATCTCTCTCTCTCAATGAGTGCATGGAGTTACAGCTGACGCTCCCCAAGTGCAAGCTGTGTTAGGTTAAGGCTAAATCTACTCATGGTTCAAAACCTCATCAATGAAATGCTGGAGTCTGATTTTGCTGGAGCTGCTTCCAGTTTGTCTCAGTGTTTTTCCAAGATCTCTTCTGACATTACGATGCAAAAATCGACGTTCCCCATTTGTCATCATTGGGAGAACAATTTGGGCCATCCTGAAACAAATGGAACAGGGAACATTGTTCATGTTCCCTTGAATAATAACTGGATTCCGTGTCTGGCCAGCAAAGCCGCAAAAACTGACATATTTACAGTTTTAGTTTTTAAAATGCTCTGCTTGGATTTGCTTCAGCCAATACTCTCCAAAACAGAGAGATGCTCGAGAGGGAGAAAGGCACTCCGATTTCACAGCAGTATTTGTACAATCCAACTCCCAGTTCAAATTAAGAAGGAAGAGAATGCACTGCAGCTTAGCGGCAGAACAAAGAATGTGTTCAGAGCTAAAGAGCTGAAAGGTTTCTCGGGGGTCAACCCATCCAAAATGGGAAATTGACAGCTACAGCCAGAACAAAGAATGTGTTCAGAGCTAAAGAATTGGAAGGTTTCTCGGAGGTCAACCCATCCTAACCCTAACGGATGTGGGAAATTGACAGCTACAGTATCCCTGGCAGATTTCTGTTTGAAAACTTCCAACAAAGCAAAGTTTGCCACTTTTCCAGATCCAAGAACTGCTGGATAGAGCAGTGACTTAAGTCTCTCTGGCTGCGGAGCCAGAGGTTGGGAGTTCGATCCCTCCCCCCTCTGGGCCGACAGGGGCTGGGCTGGACTGGATGATCCAGAGGGTCCCTTCCAGCTCTGCACTTCTAAGATTAGTATTAGTATTAGTATTAGTATTAGTATTAGTATTAAGGTTAGTATTAGTATTAGTATTAGTATTAGTATTAGTATTA